CCCACGTTGCACTCTTGCACCCCATACCTGCCAATTCCTCCCTTGTTAGGAAAAGGCACTCCCTATATCCTATGACTGTTTGAAAATTGGCTGCCATTTCAGAAAATTGTTTGACTCCCAACACTTTGATGACTGAAAACCTTTGGAAATTCTTTTTTTACAGGCCTAGTACTGAGAAGTAATAGTAAGTAAGATCATCATCTCATTTCACGTAACCCTTGGAATAGTTATAAGAAGCAGTTAATGGTTTTCTCCAGTACATTAAACAGGTGACTAAAAGATTTGCAATCCATTAACAGATTAACACACAATAGTTTTCTGTGGAACAATGTCTAATTTATATCCTTCCTGTTTTGGAACCCAAAACTTCAGAAAATGCTTTTCAAACTTCAATTCTCTTTTTAAGTTCTCATTTGTGTAATCTCTACCTATCTCGGTGAAATAAATATTAGTCTGAAAAGCAGTATCTGGGTAGCTAGATTGACAGAGGAACAAAATTAAAAATTTGCTTCTTCCTTTAACTCTTATACACTCTGTGATGGGGCTATCCATCACAAGTGAGCTATCTTAGGATTGATCATGAGTCTGGCACAATGTAATTACTGAACCAAAAGCATTGTATTATATAGCATGAAATGAAATAGCAACTTTGCCTTCCACATTATGAACCTGTTGACTAATGATGGAGTGTTGCAATTAGAAAATATGGAAGTAGTAAGACAAGGTATTTCACAGTCTGCTAATGTATAGAATAAAACCACTGATAGTGTGAAGCAGGGAAATTAAAAACAATAAAACTGGAACAGAAAATAACAGTGGTACTCTTAATAATCTGTAAAAGGAGAGGATGGAAGTGTCCTCTAAAATAGGTCCAGTTAAACAGGATTATGTGCAGTATCTGAAAAGGGCTTCTCCTGGTCTTCTGTCAGTGGACCTATTTTTTTTCTATTATGTTTTGCAATGGCTGAGAACTGTTGCATTCATTTGCATAGGAAGTATGACCTAGCATCAGGAGATTTTGCTTTAAGAGGCCAGGAAGGAAAAACAAGCTTCCTCAGCCCCATTGCCCTGTGTTCCCTTCCTGACTCCCATTGGATGCTGTGAGTGGCAAATGCCTAGATTGCCGTGTCACTGCTAGATTGTCTGGTGACACCAAGCCAAAAGCACTGGTGGTGCAGCTAGTCATTTGAAAAAATCATTGTTTTGTTACAAATTGACCAAAAAAAAAAAAAAGAATGAGAGGAAAAGATGAAGTACTATAAGTTGTTTCAAGTTCTTTTTGGAAAGTGTTCTTCCCTGCCTCTTCCTATTTGCTTGGAGCAAGCATCTTCAAAAAAGTTGATTATCTGAGAAAAAAAAAAAAAGGGTGGGCATTTATTATAAAATGCAATATTTTTTATTTTCTTCTCACTTTAGTTAAAAAGCAAACAAACAAAACAAAACAAAACAACAAACCTAGATTAAAATCTTTCTATAGTCCTAATACCAGCTACAAAGATTCTGAGTCCTTGATGTAAAACACCATAGCATGTGGTAGCATTTTTGGACACTCTCTGGCTTAAATTCGCTTAATTGATTTCAGCAACAACAGAGAAAAATCAGTCTTTCCTCCTCCTTCTTCTCCCATCTAGCACTTCTCTCAAGGCTCCTGATTGACATGGAGTAGGATTTCTGAGGGTATTTTTGTGTTTGTCAAATATCAGCCCTAGGTCTGACTCCGTCTCCTTGGAGAACTCCATGTCTTTCTGAAGGGAGCTTCTGGAGGAGGATGAGCCAGAGAGGCAGCTGATATCACTGATGCTCTTTTGTGGCAACTGCATCAACTGTTCTGTGAAAAGGTGAAGAAATATGAGTTACTAGCTTCTGTTCCCACTTGCAAGGGGGATTTCAGAAACCTTTACTCTCCTGGCTGATGACTCCCTGGATAGTAAAGACACCTTGAGGCGATGACAATGCTAATGCTTAGTCTGAGAGCTTATGAAATCCTAACCATCTCTTATTTGTCTTAATGATAATTTAATAGTTTATCTTAATAAATTATTATTTTACACCTTGTGTACACATTGCTTGCAGCATCTCTTTAGACACAATGAAAGTTTCTCAAAATGTCCGAGAAACAACAAGACCACTTACTCCAGGGAAAGAAGTCGCCTTTGAATCCTACTGTGCTTTGTCAGCTGTGTCCTGTTGGGAGTATGGCTGCTGTTTATCCTGGGCTGTTCTTGGGGACCGCATTTACAACCTTACCCTGTGATCTCCTCTGGCTGTTGGTAGAACACTGTTAAGCATTAGCCAGCCTGTCTCCAAATTGCATTGTGAAAACACCTGGGAGCACACTGCCTCTCTTCATTAATGTCTTAGCCAGGCCCAAATTGGTGGAACCCATGGTTAATAACAGACAGTAAGGAACTTTCTGAGGTAGCTTTTATTTTACCTTTGTTATTCAGCCTTCTGGTTCTAAAATTACAGGCTAGAAACCTCTTCATAGAGTAGTGGACATAATGGCATTTACAAAGGTCCCAGCACATGTTCCCACTGCAAGACCAGAAATCAGATGGCACACATGGAGTCTGTGAACTGCCGCCTTTGTCAGCAGCTGTGAAGCTGCATGCTGGACCTCAAGCCACTCACCTTCCCTGTTTGTAAATTCCCACGAGGGTCACAGAGCCATGAGATCTGACATCAGTACACCAGATAAAACCTCAATAAAGCAGTTTAAGATGAAAACAGGATGTTTCTCTATCACCAGTTTTCCCTGCCTCCCCTACCAAATGTTTGATCTTCACTCCTCTCTTTTTTTTCTCCAATACTCTTCCTTCAATAGGTGTGGTTTCCCCCTTGTCTTAAACCTCTTCCCAGTCCAGAAAAGTCACTCGCTACCTAAAATCACAGGCCCTTCTTTTAAGCAGGGCTACAAATCTCTCCCTCTCTAGCAGAGAACTGAGTTCATTTGTATGTCCTACCTTTGGTTACATTTACATGGTTGAAATCTTGCCCTTAGGCTTTGCTGTCAGGATCCCAGGTTGGTGAATCAAGAATTGAGGTTAAAGAGATTGCAGATTAGTATCTAAAGATATGACATTTAAATTCAAATTTCCAGAAAACGACTGCATTTTCATTCTTAAAAAGAACAAGCTATAAAATTGATGTATAAAACTCTGTAATTTTCTCTAAATTTTATGTTGAAACTGTATTTTCAATGATTTATCAGGATATTTAATTTCATCATTCAGTATTTTCCAATTGGTTTTCTATAACCAAAGAATGCATCATTTCCCTAGGAGGCTGAATAGCTGTTAGAAAATAATTGCTAATATACTGCACTATCAACATCTGGAGAAGTGTTCAAATTTCTGAAACAATTCTGGATTCAGAAACAGTTCAAATTTATCTATATATTTTTTCCTGTAACCTTTAATTCTCTTGGGGCGTAACTCTGAAGGTGTCCAATGTAATATACAAACCATTATCCTAATGGATAAGTCATACAGTTGGAGTAAAACATGAAAACAGAAGTACTAGAATCAAAGCAGTAGCTCAACTATCTGTCAAAAAAGGACCCAGATTCCACATTTTGTCATTTCAGGTCAGTTGCTTCTTACAGAGAAGACTGTAGGAAGGTTCTCTCTGTCCTGGTCTGGTCTTTCTGGTCACTTCCTCTTGCAGAGCTGGCTATGTTGCCCCTTGTTCCTACTCACCTTGTTTGGCAGTCAGAATAATTGTCTAGAAAGTTGGTTACCCCAGGATGCAGCAATCATAAAATCCATGTTATTCCACTATCTCAGTCAATGCTCTATGCACTAGAAAATCCTGACAAACCTCCTGAATTCTGCTTCTCTCATGCTTTAAAGGAAAAGATACGTAATTTCTCCAAAACACAGAAAGCTATTTTTAATATTAATTTCCTTCATACATATCAGGGAGCTAAAAATTTGTCACTTTATTTCAATGTATTAGATTTCCATGGCAAGGTCTTGGTAGCAGGAGGTGCTACAGTGAGAAGCTGCCACAAGCTTCCTCGCATCCAACAGAGCCAATGCCACCCGGCTCCAACACGGATCTGCCACTGGCCAACGCCATGTCCACTGGCAAGAGGGGTAGTAACTCTGGGATAATGTTATTTAGGAAAGGAAAAAAGTTACTGCAGCCAGAGAGAAGAGGCACAACATGTGAGATAAAAAAAGCCTCGTAGACAGCAAGGTCAGTGAAGGAGGAGAAGCAGCAAGTGCAGCAGGCACTGGAGCAGAGATTCCCGTGCAACCTATGGTGAGGCAGATGTGTCCCTGCAGCCCATGGAGGCACACAATAAAGCACCCTGTTCCTAAAGGACTGGACCCTGTGGAAGGGACCCATACAGGAGCAGTTCATGAAGAACTGCAGCCTGTGGGAAGGACTCATGTTAGAAAAAATTGTGGAGGACTGTCTCTTGTGGGAGGAACCCCATGCTGGAGCAGGGGGAAGACTGTGAAGTCCCCCTGAGGAGGAAGGAGCAGCAGAGACAGTGTGTGATGAACTGACCACACAGCCTGCATTCCCCTGCGGAGTGGGTACAGAAAATCAGGTTAAGGCCTGGGAATAAGGGAAGGCTATGGAAAAGGTGTTTAAAGATTCAGGTTTTCTCCTTACCTTACTCTTCTTTGATTGGTAATAAGCTAATTTCCCCAAGCTGAATCTGTTTAGCCTGTTACAGTAATTGAGAAGTGCTCAAACCAGGAGCATTTTGTTACATTTTCTCTACCCTGCCCAGCTGAGGAGGGGAGTGATAGAGCAGTTCTGGGGGGCACCTGGCATCAAGCCTCTGCTATCCAACCATATCCAGGAAAAAAAATTTCAGATACATTTCTATCTAGCTGGTTCAACTCTGAGGGGTTTGATCTCTGTGATTTACTACACAGGGAATATAGGGAACAGAAATTTTGGGGTGCTGCAGTGTTGAGCATCTAGGTTTCTCTTCAGATATAGCCTTCTCTCTCTGTGAAGAAAGACAGTTTCAAGAGCCATTTTGGAGTGTAGTAGTCAAATTTATTTCCACTGTAGAAGCATACTTGTTTCAGTAATAAAAAAATAACATTTTCTTTGCAGAATAAAAGTAAACCTGTAGTGGTATAAATATATTTACTTGCACAAGAATTCACGTAAGTCACTCAACATATACTTAGACTTAGCATTCTCATAGTCCTAAGTTTCAAATGAAGTCAACAAAAGATAGCTACTTGCAGAAAAATGAGAAATGTGAAATGTGGCTCAGTTGGGATTTAAACATATACAAAATAATGAAAGCTTCCTTCCTTGGTTTTTTTTGTTAAATGAATACATTGCTTATGAAAAATATCGACAGCCTCCAGCATGGACTATTTCTGTTTGTCTAGTTAAAATATACCATATGATGTCATAGAAGCCTCTTCTGGCTGCCTTGCAGACATGACCCCAGTGCTGGCCAGGCAGAACGAGCAACAGGCATGTTCGTGTTCAAGCTCAGTGTTCCTTAGTCTCCGCTCAGCCTCTGTGTCTCCACTCCTGAAACTCCCATCACCAGCTACTGTCTTTCAACAAACAAACCACGTCTAGAAATTTCCTTCAGGGGGTCATCACAGACTCACCAGAGAGCAAATCCCTGTGCTATATTCCATACAGCATTATTAAGGATCTGGTGCAACCAAAAGTCTAGCTTACAGTAGCTATGGTTGATGTGTAACTTTATCTAGTATGAATACTTAATGCAAAAGAAACTATATTATTTTCTGCACTCTCATTCAGTTCAAGCCATGGAACAACAGTAAAAACAACTGCAACAAATTTAACTTGCACTTTAACTTCTATAAAACTCTTCAACTCTTTCTGCAATTGTGGGAGTGGGAAAAAAAACAAAACAAAAAAGGGAAAACTAATGAATCAATCTCATCATGACTCTCTATTACTGTGTTCTGCCTAAATTATACTTTGTTACCGTATGGGCAATTGTCAGCACCATGTCCTCACAACATATGTTGATTTATTCTGATCCTTCCTTACTGTTACTACAGTGAAAAACAGCATAAGGTTCAGCCTTGATTCTTCCCAACATGTCTATAAGAGGAGGATACCAAACTAATACAGCACAATACTGAAGACGAGAACATAACACTTAGTTCTGATACACTGAAAAGTAATTTCACATATAAGCTCACTTATGTAGGCACACTGACATATTGAGCACCATTTTTTTTCAGTTTAACATAATGTTCAACTCTGAACAGAAAAATGTTTATCCTCTAGGACAGTTTCAGTATTACGAAAAGAACTACTTCTATTTTAGAAACATCAAAACACTAATGTTGACACTTTAGTTGAGAAGTTCACTGCAAGTGACCCTCTCTCTGAATTCGAAGGCGCTCCTTCTCCACTTGCAAGCGTTCCTTCTCAATCTGCAGCTTCTCTGACTCGAACTTTAGAAACTGCAGCCTCTCTTTCTCTAACTGCAAACGTTCTTTTTCAAGTTTTAACTTTTCAGTTTCTAGATCCAGAGGCTGCATGATGGGTTTTTCTGTTTGGGTGAGGTCATTTTCCAGGGCAGGTTTTTCGGATTGCAGAGTCTCCAGCCTGAGTTTCTCCCATTCAATCTGAAGTCGCTCCTTCTCAACCTGAAGCCTCTCGCGCTCCAGGTCAACGTGCCGCAACCGTTCCTTTTCAATTTGCAGGCGCTCCTTCTCCACTTGCAGCCTTTCTGCTTCAATGTCTAGTCGCTGTTTCTCCAGATCCAGCTTCTGCTTCTCCAGATTTATAAGCAAGTGAGAATCTTCATAGGCTAGCCTAGCTTGAGCAGAGCTTAGATTTCCAAACTCTTCAATGTGGGGGAAGTCTGGTAGGTCATTTTCCTTTTTCGAATCCGGCAAAACTGATGACAATATTTCTTCTTCTTCCTCAATAGGAAACTGCAGAGGAACGTGACAGACAAGAATTACTCTCCAGTCCTTATGCCAGAATAAATGCGTTACACACAACTTGACTGAAAAGAACATATTGCATTTTTTCATCTTTAAAGCTACTCAGAACTGTTTAAATCACGTGTTGTGAAATAACCATTTTAGATCAGAGAATTTTTCTACCATTACACAGGTAGAGAAACACACTTTGTCTGTAAGTTAATACCTGGTAATTGAAAATGCAAAATCAGCTTGTCAGTGGAACATACAAAATGCAACACAGAGGACACGCAAGAACATACAGAAAACATGGCACGGTTATTACAGATCATTCAGAACCACTGACAGAAAAACGGATGTAAGAGACCATATGTTGTTCTTACTTTTCATAGACCTGAGTGACATTTAGAGAAGCCACTAGGAATTTGCTGAGACTAATTATTTATCAGAGCAGATGGATTCATAGGCTATGTGCTATGTAAGCTAACCCAACCTTCACTAATTTGAGGATTCTATTTTTTATAAAACACTTAACACTGACATCTTTCACATGCTCTTAACCTTCCCAACTCCATTACGTGGGTCTATATACAGGACTTTAACCACTCTGTATTACCACATTTGCTGTAAAGCTATTTATGATGCAGATGATGAGATGGTTAGGACCACTGCTCTCAGCAGAAGACAGACACTGTTCTTCAGCACTGTCTGACAGTAGTCTCACTACCATTTAACAGCTTCTGCTGATTTTTTCCCAGCACATATATCAAATGAGCTAAGACAGAAGCTGCTTCCCTACCCTTCCCACTTGGGCAAAAAAAAAAAAAAAAAAAGGCAAAACTGTTTGAATACCCCTTTTTGAAAAAAGAACTATATATTTGTAGAGGTACAGAAAAACTATCCCAACATTTGACTTGACTCCAGCTGGCTGCCTTCCCCAGGACAATCACAGTATTACTAGGAGTAGCAACCTGTCTAGAGAATCCGTAACTGCTTGGCAAAATCACACCAAAATTCTGAAAGAGAAGAATGGTCATCTGTACCTGCAGGTAACATATGCTTTCATTTGTTGAAGAAGTGCACTTTTCTTCTCCATTCATCCATCCAGACAGCCTGGGTATTATAATAATAACCAGTTTCCTTCAAGAGTGTTATTTTCATTCTATTGACTGAACTAATTCTTATCTGTGGCACGTACAAATGGAAAATACATGTGCAAAGACATATTCCAGCTTTAGGTATATCAATTCAATAATCAACATCCAAGACGTTACACCCAATTCCAAGTTGCTAGATTTGAATACTATCTCTCTGAAATATATTTGTTTCTACGGTTTCTTTAATTCACACATTCAGGAAAAAAAACAGAGACAGAGACTATTAAGAAACACAGTAGCTTTATGCTGAAATGAAACAAAGGCCATATTGCACACAGCTAATGCATGTCAGTCACTCACTTCAAAATTCTGTGGATCCTCCTCTTCCTCTTCTACTTTGATTTCTGTTAAAGATCCTCCGGCTTCTCTGAAGTCAGTGATATTTTGCCATTCAAAACTAGATTCAATTGAAAATCCCATTTTCTCATCCATGTCTTCATTGAGAGAGTCATCTAAATTGGATGAAGGAAGGTGAAACCCAGCACCTACTACTTTGATGTTTGCATTCAGACGTTTTCTCTTCATGAGTGCTCTCCAGTCAAGGTATCGCCTTTTCACTTCTGTCCCTGTTCTTTGCTCTCCTTCACCTACAGCATTGACACACTCTGCTATTTCCTCCCAAGCTTTCCGTTTCATCTCATTAATTGTTGTATTAAGTTGCTTTGAAAAGAGTACTTCTCTCCTTTTTCTGATTTCCTTAAGGAGAGTTTGAGTTTCCTGAACACTAAAATTGCTTTTTCTTTTTCTTTTTAATTGTTTCATCTTTTCCAGCTTTAACCTAATAATTTCACCACAGTAGACTACAGAGATGATCTGACACTAGTCAGCTACTAATATAAATAAATTTAGAAGCCAATGAAAGCAGAGCTCAGTTCTCGTGAAGTGAATTTTCTCTTCACTTTGTAGTATTTTTCTATTTGTCAGGCTTCCTAAGAGAAAAAGAGCAAACAACATAAATCTCCAAGGTACACACCATATATTTTCATTTAACAACTTGACTCCTCAATCATCATTTACGGAATACGTATTTTGACCTGATTGTTCATTTGATAAAACCATTTTCTTAGACTCTGAATATAAAGTAGCCATAGATACCTTCTCTAATGTCCTATGAATTACACAACCATTAATATATCCATGTCATGAGCTGTTACAGTTGATTGGATATTTCCATTACAAAAACACAGCTATTTCCCTTCAACTCTTAAGAGTTTTGCCAGTCAGGATTTGCTTAGGACTGAAATTTGACATACACATTTCAGTTTGAATGCTAAATTATTTCCAAAAGAAGCTGAAACTGTTATATCATTACTTCAAAAACATCAAGTGTGTAGGGGACTGAAATTTCTGAGACATATTTTAAATGAGACACCATTTCCATTAGAAAAAAGTAGATTAATATGGAAAATGGAAATTTTAGAAGCTCTTCTGACTTATCTTAGTCAGAAATAAAATAGCTGAAGCAGTCCTGTTTAATGTCACGAAATAACTACTAGCTCAAACAAATGTCGTGCATGAGAGATGTTTTAACAGTAAACAGATTTAAGTCACTACATGCAGCTCTGTCCTTCTCACACCGCAAAACATGTCAGATGCAATGGCAGCTTTGAAGTTCATTCAGCTCTCTGCCCTCAGCAACAGCTGGTCCTGTCCCTGATGCTGAAGAGAACACTAAACCCCATAAATACACCTGACAGATTGTGTGAAACTCTGTACAGAGGTGAACAGTTTGAGTGGGAGAAAACAGGGGACTATTAATGCAGTAATGAACATCACTGCAGTAACATAGATTTTATTACAAAAAACAAACCCAAAGAAACAAAACAACCAAAACCTGAAAGCAGAAACTGAGAATCAAAAATGGTTCTTGGTCACAGATTGCTTGGTAATGGGTCCAATTTAGGATTATTTTGACCAATCATTTGTACTGTCTTACCTACCACTCTAGATAGGTTTAGAAGGCTTTAAACCAAGCAGGCCAGGGATTTACCATAGTGATTTACAATAGTACCACAGTCCATCCAGTTTCAAGCTGCTGTGTTTGCTCACTGTTCAGGCAGACATTTGTCCACCTGAAGGCGAATGGCTTGCAGATTATATATTCAATTGCTACTGACTGATGGACTTAACTCTTATCCTCCCCCTCCATGACCTCCACGAGCTATAAAGGATTCTTAACTTACTAAGCTATTTTTTTATTCTGTTATTCTCCCTAAACTTGGTTAAAACATACACATCAGCACAACACAACTCTCCATTTGGGGGATAATGTAGTGCAGATATTGTTATTCATCTCCTATGCACTACTGACTGCCAATAAGTGGCTCACTTGCAATTTTCCACGTCAAGCAACAACCTTTCATACCAAACGTGCAAACATGCTGCCATCAAGTATTTTTTAAAATGCTGCATTTAGAAAACTGCTTAACTACTTTTCATCATTACAATACTGTTCTCACTGTTAATCCACTTAATTCCAATGATCAGTAGCTAGCAAACATGCAAAACAAAGTCCCAAGAGAAAATCAATTGCATAAAGCATGAGCATGTATTAGCACACACCACTCCCCGATTCTCCCATGCAGCTACCCAGCACTTTGGACTCCTCAGACTCAAGTAGGAAGCTGCATGTTGCTGTTTAGGATGTGTGAAATATTCTACCCTTCTGAAAATAAAATTCTAGTTGGTTTTGTGAAAAGAGAATTGTTTAACAAAATAACGTAATGTAGTGCTTTAATGCAGACCCCTAACTAGAAATGGCCAATAGTGAAAAAATTTGTGGCAATTTAGAAAATCAGATTTATACCAGAACACAGCACTGGATCTGCTAAAATTACATTTTTTTTCTAAGACTTTTATCTGATCTTTAAGTATATCCCTTAACCTTGATTATTATAAGTTTATCACAAAAAGGTATCAAGAAAGCAGAATCATATTTGCTTCTCTCTCAGTAAATCAATTTTTTTTGGTACCTGCTGAGCTTTATAAATGCAAATTAAAGCATTAGTGCTTTACATATTTTGATGCTTTACTACATCAAATTCTATGTTTATCTTGTGTAAAGTCTTTGGTTGTGGGTGTTTTTCAACCTTTTGATAAGTCACTGAGTAAGCAAATTCTTCAGGAAAGCTACCTGCACACAGAACAAATTTAGAACACTTTTAGAATCTTCACTATTTACAAGGCAATTATTTTGGACTGATAAATATATAGTGATTCCTGGTTAGCAGGGAATGACCAAGTACTCATATCTTCATACTGGCTTTAGAAACACATACATTTGCACTTACCTGTTTTCAAGGTGGGGAGTGTGTGTGAAAGATACAGAGGTATCCATCCTGAGTTGGTCTTCCAGGTAAAAAGAATTACATAGAGTTCTCAGGTACAACATAACTTTCACAAGAATTACAGTATTTCTGACTTGTCACTACCAAGACATGAAATCTCTGTTTATAAGGTCACACTTATCTCCACTGAAATCAGTAGAACTTCAGGTTTGGTTTTAAGTAGAACTTAAGGGAACACTCAAGTACCTTGCTAACTATGGGAAAATGGGTCAAACTTTCCTAAGTACTCCCCAGTTGAGTACATCAAACTCTTGAAAGTACCAGTAGATACTTTTCTCTTAAGATACTTAAACAGAAGACTTTTCATGTCAAGGTATACACTAGCTAAGTCCTTTACTTAGCCCCAGCTACATGAACAAGGTTCTGGTCATTCCCAGTAACAGGGAACCACAAGATTTTAGACTCATATGGCATCTCTAGTTACCCTGGCCCTCCCTAAATTTCTCAAAGCTAGCACAGTAGGACAATATGGGCACAAACAAAGGGAAAAAAAAAAACACAACAAAAAACCAACCTGGGTTTTCAAATCAAATTTTCATCATCTTCTAAACACAGTTCTACATGAACACAGAACACACAGACAGCCAAGCTTTCTCCTTAGCCCCAGAGAAGGTTCAGAGTTAAAACACGCAAATGTCAGGTTACCCTGTGGGTCAGCCTCACTGCTCCTTGTGCCAGTGCTTCCTACCATCTGACTGATTTCCCTAGCCACTCTTTGTGAAGTGTCTAATCTTGGTTTTGGATTTTATGCTCTAAGCCAAGGACATGCCCTTTAAGAACTACAATACTAACTTGGAAACTACTGGCATCCAACTCCTTCATTAGGTAAAGTTTTATTTTAGGCTTTTTTTAACTTTTGCTTGAACAGGTCTGATACAAGCCCTGAATTTCCCAGTGAAGCATCAACCAAATCTATCTGTTTCAAAACCCATAACTACTAACTTCCAATAGCTAAGGACATCTTGCCTTTTCTAATCCTTCCCTTTTTAAAAGCACATCACCTCATTAAGGACGATTCCCATCTTATTAATATAAATGGGTGTTAGTGAATTGTTTTAACAGTGTACTTATTCCCAGGAATGGCTCAAATCCACTATGGCACTGTACTTTTCTGATATATTAACTAAAAAGCCTTATTATCTAACTAAACCTGAGGTTTGGGATATTCAGTTTTCTGACATGGCTAGATGATCTCCAGCATATTACTCTTTAATGCAGAAAAATGAACTGTTACACGCTCAAAGTACATAAGAAACAGGAATGGCAATAATCTAGGACTTGTACACATTCTAGACAGCTACCTTACCACCACTTTGAAAAGCTTGATTTACAAAAACATGACATACAGCACTGTCCTGGTTTCAGCTGGGATAGTGTTAATTTTCTTCCTAGTAGCCAGGACAGTGCTGTGTTTTGGATTTACTGTGACAATAATGCCGATAACACGCTGATGCGATGGTTGTTGCTAACACACTGATGTGCTGGTTGTTGCTAAGTAGTTCTTAGTTAAGTCAAAGACTTTTCAGTTTTCTGTGCTCTCCCCCTCTGTGAGGAAGAGCACAAGAAGCTGGGGCGGGGGGGGAGGGAAACTGAAAATGCAAACTGCCTATCTTTACAGTTCGTGTAGAAATGCAGAGCGCTGACAATAAAAAAAAAAAAAATCTGATTGTATGGTAGCAAAGATCTCAAAGGTCTTCCAGAAAAGATGGTAACATGGAACTAAAAGTTTCAGAGTCCTGTCAGGCCAGAAGTAACCCAGTGTCAAGAAGGTTTTCATCGCTGGACTAAAGAAACACAAACTTTTTGTCAGGGTTGAAATGAAACAAGTATTGTAAAACTAAGCTCGAAACTCCCTAAACATGCAGAACACACACATACTGAATACCTTTGACATACTTAATGGCAGAGGCATCCACATTCTGCCTCTGTCTTTTCTGTCTCCTTTGTTCACACCTTATTGTCTAAATGCTAGACTAACAAAAAAAAATTAACCAACCCCCCCCCCAAAATAAACAGGGAAGCAAAAAAAAAAAACATCCTTGCATTCACCAGGACCTAAGGATTGCTGCTAGCATCAACAGTCTAAGAATTATTCTTTAGGAAAATCATGATTTTTTTAAATACGATGTCTTGATAGTCCTTCCCCCCCCCCCTAACTTTCAGGGTTTATGCTTGAATAAAAACCCAAAGTTTAAATTAGGAGAACCTGTTACTTCTAAGTTTTTTAAAACAAAATTCGAGAGTCTGAGTTATCTTTGGATGATACTAAAGCCTGGGGATTTCTAGAAAACTTCGTATGTGATTCCCAACAGATGGCTACGTTGACTTGGCACAACTTCAGGATTTGTACAAAGAGAGGATGAGTGCTGGCCAACACATGCCCAAAGACAGCCCCTCCTGCAAGAACCCCACTGTTTGCGCAAACGAAAAGGCACGCAGGGAAGGGAACCAATACCACCTAAAAGGACCATTTAACGAAGCAAAGAGGAGGGGCAGCTGTGGACTCAGGCTAATGAATCCACAGACTCGTCAGGCTGAAATTCCCCTTCCTCTGAACCAGCCACGGCCACGAGCGGCACAAAAGCCCCTCCCCGGCGGGGTGCGCGTTTCGGAGGGATGGGTGCGGGCACAGCCCCGGGTGCGGGGCCAGCTCCAGCCCGGTCCCACCCGAGCGCTGCGGGGAGCGAGGCGGCAACAAAAGAAGGCGGGGGCAGGGCTGCCCCGAGCCCTGAGCCCCGGGGAGCAGCCGGGCCCGCGGCTCCCGCCGCAGCCCAGGGTCCCTCCAGGAGGCACGGCCGCGCGACTCTCCCGGGAGCAGGAGGAGGAGGAGCGGAGCCTCCCCGCGGCGAGAGAAGGCGGAGGACAATCGCCTCGCCGCCCCCGGGGCCCAGAGCGGCAGAGCCGCACCACTCTACCCCTCCCGAAGGTGCCAGGGGGTGCCGGCACAATGCGAAAGCAGCGGCCGCCCCCTCCCCGCCCGGTGCCGCCGCCCGGTCCCCGGGGGCCGCACTGCCCGCTCACCTGCGCCTGGCGCTCCCCTCCGGGCCGCCGGCCCTTTAACGGCCACTGCGCTCTCATTGGGCGAGCTACCTGTCTGTCAGTCTTCTCCACGCGCCTATTGGCGGGCCGTGCCCGCCGCTATCCCCGCCCCGCCCTGACGCGCCGGGCCGGCCGGGATCCCCCACGTCCCTCCGCCCGCGGGGCCGCGCGGCGTGCCGCACCCGGGCAGCCATTGGCTAAGCCGCCGTCTGTCTTTCGCAGGCCGGCTGGTGATTGGCTGCGAGGGGCCACGGCCCGCCTCTCCCCTCCGTGGGGGACCCTCCGCGGGGTTACGGCGGAGTCAGGCGGGCTGGGTCTGGTGGCTTGCCTGCTCCGTCTGAGGGCGCGGCACAGCGAAGGGATGGCGGGGGCAGGGCGGCGCCTCTCCGCGGGGTCTGCGAGGGAGGGAGGGAGGGAGAGGGCAGGGACAGCCCGGAGGTGCGAGTTTGCCGTGCAAGACCTTGTGTGCGACAGGTTTAAGGTGCTGCAATAGAGAGCGAACGCGCGGCAGCCGGCGGTTCGTCCCGAACTGCGCGGTGTGTGATTCAAATAGAGTACTGAAAATAATAAAAAACTAAAAAGGAAAACACGAACGAATAGGGTAGCAAGCCTGTGCTACGTTGCTGGCATATATAATACAGGGATATTTCTTACTGAGGGCTATGTATGAACTAGGTTTTCATTTATATTATTACTAGTATTTTGTCAGTGCTCAGAAATGAGATTCAAGTGTGCCCTAAAGGCTACTTCAAACTAGATTCAGGTGCAAGTAGATGGAAAAATGATGGAAAGTGGAAGTCATTAACAATCTGAACCTCTGCCAATCTGCAAAAATAATTAATCCTAATTACACCTCATTAAGTGTCCTTCTTTTATTGTGAGGCACAAACCCACTAAATATGATTAGTATACATTAGAATAATTTTAACTAGGAAGCATATGATTTCCTAGAGTAGCTGTGCACATAATTTTAAATAGCTCTATTTTCTCTCTCTATTGTTACTCTGCTATTGTGGAGACTACTGATCACTGGTGAAAAATCTTGGTGTGTGGTAGCTTCCTCCAACAAAAATGCTTGGATCTCCTTCATTCATGTAGGATATGTCTTGAATTTATGTGTAATTTATGTGCACTTTATTCAATTACTTGCTTTTGACGACAATAGGAAAAGCCCCGCCACATGGTCTACAGTTCAGATACAAATTGTTCAAGTGCAGGGTGAATTCGCTGGTTCTGTAGAACATTCATATGCAATTTTCTTCTGATTGTCCACAGGGTTACACAACTAGACCTCTCAAATTTGGTCTATTCATTCCTTGACTGTTCAACATAACCTTTTAACATTGTGAACAGTGTTGGAACACTTTGGAAGTATCTCCAAATGGCTTTTGCTAGTTGCTGGGCAAAGGCTTTGGAGCATTGCAAGACTGATTTGTATTACTGTAAGTCTATTTTATCTATACAGAGGTTTGAGGCTTACAGAATTTTAAGTTTTGGAAGAATGCAAGACAACCTAGGGCTCCCTCACTTTGTATTGATGCCATTTCTGCACCCTTTGTATGTGAATTTTAGACAAAGTAACTTGTATCTCCTTTTACTTAAAGCCACTTCTAGTAGTATGGGAGTCCATTTCAGTAAAACTTAATACCTAATCATTTGCAATACTTAAACTGTTTAAAACTCCCTGTATTATCAATCCAAGCTGTATGGATCTAATTAAAAAAACAAAACAAAACAACACTAAACCCAATTTAAATGAGCACATTACAATACTAAACTTGGAACTTTTCAGCATGGGAACAGCAACTCATTATGCAAAGGATATACAATTACAAGGAATTTGTATTTGTATACAAATAGGTCCAAGGGTAATTACAAAACCCCCTCACTGCAGTTTTCATGCACGCTAACTGCATTTTTGCTTATAATTTAACATTCAAAATGTTCTCCAGTTGGGGGGGAAGGGGGGAGGGAAAAAAAAGAATAGAAACACTGTAGATTCTTTTTATTTTGAAACTGACTGGAAAAAAAAAAATCAGACCTGAGAAGGATTTGCTTGCTCAGTGCTTTATTTCACAAAAGAATGAACATCTCGGCAAACATGTAGTATCATACTTTCCACATATCAGCAGAGCCCAGGCAGCAGCAAAATGTTACTGATCTCTATGCTTTATTGGATGTTAGAAGGAAAAAAAATTGAGCATAATGGTTAACTATAAATGTTTTCAGGCTGTTTTAATTAAAATAGATCTTATGCTGCCTCCTGTTGGTCATCTACAAACAGAAACATCTAGTTATACTCCACATTACAAACTGCAGTCAGCATATTCTACAGCCTATACCTTGCCTACTACCTAATACTAACCAGAGGAGGTAAACAGCTTTCTTCATGGAGTAATACCATAAATAAATCTGACTTGGTAAATCTACTGCATTTTGTGAATATAATAAATTTTTAACAGCAATAAACCGACTTACTAAAAATGTATTTTGAATATGGAAACCCAAAAGTTAGTATATAAATAATAATAATCAGGTCTGTGCAAACATAATCAACACCTGAATAACTGATATTTATTATAACAACTAAACCAGTGTGATAATATTATCAAAGTGCTAAATATTTTGATAGCATTCTTTAAAAATTAAGATTATCCAATATAATCATCACTGGATATTAAAATCCCACATACAATATATATTATCTCCATGTATATTATATTGGTCATGCTTATAATGTGTTCTGTGACATAAAATAGAATACTATTAGAAATGTTTTGGTTACATCATTTAAGTGCAAATAGTAATTATAACTTTACATGCAATTTGTTTTAAACATCTTACTCTATTTCAGTGAGAACACTGGTAATCATTAATCTAGTCATCAACTATTTTTTAAGGAAGGTACTTTTTCATAAAGTACTGTGAGCTTTGAAAAGTCACAAAAGATATAGAAAAACTCGCTTTGCACTGACTTTGTGACCTTTTTTAAATTGCGTAACAGCTGTGTAAAGTAGAATGAAAAATCTGATCCAGACCTACAGCAGTTACTCATGCAAATAATGCATATTTTTCTGTGTAGCTGACTTCACTGAGATTTCTTACATCTTCAGCAATCAATCAGAGGGTTTGGAACATAGTACTTTAATTCCACGAGAAAGCCTTATTTTTAACCACAATTTTCTAACACAGCTTCTTCTGCATTCAATTCTCCTATCAGATTTAATACTTTGTATGTGGAATTGTGGCACATGACCTTTTTTTTCCTTCTGTGAGATCTGTAGTACAGCCTTCCCTGCCTAACTGAAGAAAATCAGTCCTATTTCACAGTAACTTTTCTGTAAGCAATTATAGAAAGTAACTGACACTACTACACTATTTCCTGATCACTGAGTAAAAAAGCTCAACTCCATGTGAAATTCATGAATGATTGGTCAAACTGGGAACTGACATTAGTTCCTGTGCAAGTATAGCATAGAATATTAAAGAAGCATGTATATTTTCCCAATTAAGCTTCATTCAGTTTTCACTATCAACACTAATTTATCTTGTATGTCATTGCTCTGGTGTCCTATGCTAGAGCCTTATACATATAGCAAGTAGCTGGATGGAAGACTGCAAAAAAAAAACTGCTGTAAGGAAAAATTTTGGGGAAAGAGCATCACCTGAATTACTGACTCACTCACTCGCTGTTTACGTGATCCAGCAATTTGGTCATGACAGTGGCAATTAAAAAACCCTTGCAATTCTCTGGTCTCTTCCAATTTGCATAGCTATTTATACCCATGTACTATGGGCATAGTATGTTACTTTTGTCATTGCATAAACTGCATACTCACAATATTCAGGTATAAAACCAACACAAATAAATAAGCAAAAGAGAACTGGGCCTTGTATTCCGATGTGACAAGCTGCAATAATTAATGGTTAATGAAGTCTTTAAGCTATGCTGAGTAGCTTTTATTAATGCTAAAACTACTCTTTTCCTATGTGTCTTATTTTTCTCCTAGGGTTTCAGTAAGCAGGAATAGTATTCTTCCTCTCTCTACTCAATACTACTCAATACATTTGCTTTGTACTAATAAAAAGTAGTTGTGTTCCAATATAAAAATATTTGCATTTCCATAAGATGATTGTAGAGGTTACCTAGCTAATTGTAGTTACAATATGATTTGGAGACTCACTATGCAAAAAGCAAAATATATGTGGAAGTTGCCTGAAATATTGTAACAAGCAGCTATTTACTTCTACAGAACTGACACACATCTTAATACAAAGGAATTACAGAGTGGAAGGGTCCTTCTCTATTACTATGTTCTCCAAATCTGAATAATTTTAATTTACATACTTATGAAAATAGTTATAATGAATGTTATCTAAATTTATAAAGGTATCTGATAACGAATTATAGAGTCAATCACAGACTTCGGTTGTTTACTGTTTAAAGAGAAGTATGTTCTAGGCAATATTAAGCTTTAAGCATTAATATTGAGCTTGAGTTTTGCAAAAAGTATATGCAGTAGTGGTGTGATAATGAACTTAGCACAGTTGTCTCAAGTCATATGAAAGATGTTTCAGATGCCTCACTAAACTTGATTAATTTTTGAACTGCTTGGAAAAGGTGTGCTTAGATGTTTAGAACCATTCCTTCTGGTGTAGGACAACCTTACTGCTTACAAGATACTTATAAGGAACATAAGGGTTCTCAGTGTCTTATTCGAGTACCTGCTACAAAAAGAAAATTCTCAGGCTGTAAAAGATTACAAATGAATTTATGAAACCTAGCTAATTTCATTGTTCTCCTGTCAGAAAGAGGGTCCCCTTTGTAAGCATAAGATTGAATTTAC